TTTACAGCACTGAGGTCGGAATCCAGAGTTTCCCACCTGTGAAGTAAATGCTCTAGCACAGACCTGTACCCCCAAGTTCCTGAAGCCTTTTAATGAGTCCTGCTTGAAGGGTCTTTGCCCTCCACCATCCATAGCACATTTGTGAGCAATACCAGCTTGGGATGCTGTATTTCGGGACTTGCCAAATGTGCACTTTCCCTTCTAGGAGTAAACAGCTGAAGGCCAAGAGCAAAGGCATTAGATAGTAATAATAAGCCATGACTAACTTCTTACTCTGTGCCAGGCACTGGGCTCAGCACTTTACATTTAATCTGCACAACTACCATGAAATCATTCCCATTTTATATGTGAGAAAAAGGGCAAAGAGAGGAATGACTCAGCCACTCAGCCAGTTGGGGAGGCAGTGGGCTCCTGCAGGCTGTGGGACCTGCACTTCCTTCTCCGGCTGGCTGTGGTGTTCCTTCCTTCTCTAACGTGGCGCTGTAAACTTTATAAGACAGTGAATACAGATCCAACAGTTGGACGTCTGCTTGGGGTTTTCCCCAGAGCACCAAGGACCCTGTTAGGTACATAATAGTGATTCAGCAGGCATTTAAAACTCAAGTCCCAGGGGCTGGGGATTTAGCTCAGTGGCATAAGTGCCCACCTTGCAAGCCCACGGTCATGAGTTCAATCCCTGGTACCGGTTTAATAAAAAGTAAAACTCAAGTCCTGAACCCATTCAATCCCCTGGGACTGGACCTCCCTAACCAGTTCATTCCTCCACGGTTCATCTTTCCCTGGTACCACTATTTGGTGCCCATAGCCCAGAGTGGCACAGAGGAGGCAATGCCATCAGGTCTGCTGTGTGATGAGATAGTGGCTCTCTTCTGTCCCACAGTCTGAGTGTGGAGGACATGGATCCAGACAGTGAGAGCAGAGTCCATCCCTGCTGGACACAAGTGAACCCCCCCCCCCATGTCTATCAGCCTTATCTGTTTCTTTGGGGTGCTTATCTTCAAACCGGCAATTTAATCCTCCCTAGTGGAATGCAAAAGTCACACATGCCTTCTCCAGGGAGCTGGGATAGCAGGAAGGAGCGAAGTTTAGTATTACTCTTTGATAAGAGTCTTGTTTGCCCAGAATCACATAGAAAAGCCTGTCTGGTCCCCACACTCATCTCCACTTGGCTCCTCTCTTTCCTTTTTTCCTCTCTAGTTGTAAGATGGCAAGATTGTACAATCCAAAGGGTCAACTGTCTCTCCCACACACCTCCAGTGGCCCAGGTCAGTCCCTTGCCTGCCCTCCCTCCTCTGCCTGTTGTCCAATTTGGCCAACTGCCCACCTTCTCCTGGGCACTTCCCTTTGGCTCTGGTTTCATCGACATTTTGAAACTAGACCAAAGTTCAATACTGTATTTGACTTTGGTAACTTAAAAGGTGCCAGACTCTGATTGGACAAAAGCAGACAATAATCTGAGAGAGGTTCAGCCTCTTAGTGACAGGTTTCTCTGGGGTGAGTCTCTGGCCATATGGAAACACCCAGGCCTGGAAATATGCAAAGAGGAAAGGCCACTTTCACCGTCCCAAGGTGGCCGGGTTGTTTTGTTTTTCTGTATCTACTGAAGTTGTATTTTTGTATTTTGTATTTTTTGCTTTGCTGAAACTCTAGACAAGAAGTAAACCCTGCTGTCTGAGGCATGCTCTGCTCCGCTGCAAGGGCAGGTTGTGGGGATGGAGTGTCCTCTCTCCTGTCACTGGCTGTCCCCTCAAGGCTTTCCTCTGAAGATTGATTCCTGGGCAGCAAAGTGGTGGTGATACCACTGCCATGGGTGGGGGCGGTAAGTGGAGGAGACAGCAAACCGCCCCTGCCTGGGGTTGATGCAGCACCTGGAGGTGCTCATAGGAAGGGGATAGGTAGTCCCTGGCCATGTGGAAGCAAGATTGCGGGACCTCAGAAGCACCAGGCTGAAGCAGGGGGACCCCATTCAGCCTGATTTGCTGGATTTCCAGCCAGGCCCGCAGCCTTTTGCATGAAACTTGGTGCATGGTCCATATCAGCTGAAAGAGCTTTTGTCCCCACACAGGAAGAACAAACAACAAAGGCCACTGTGTGTCTGCTTGCAGCCTGCTTAGCAAACTTGGAAAGAAACTTTCTTGCAGAAGTTCAACTCTCCTGGGAAGGCTGAACTCCAGACACAGTGAAAGGGGGTCTGGGAGGAGCGGGCATCTGGGTTACCATGAGAGTGGCATGGTGCTGCCATACACACAGCACACGCAATCACACAGACGCACAAACTGCCAGGGTGTGCGGCCTGGAAGGCAGCCAGCTCCACCATCCAGGGCCATGGCTGTCCTTGGCCCTTTGGGCGGGTGGTGTAGCACCAGCCACACCAGGCTTGTATTTCCCAGCCTGTACCTGGGAAGAACGTTAGGCAGCATGGAGAAAGATCTTCTTTCAAGAAATCTACCCTGGGCCCCTTCACACACATGGCTCAAATCCAGGCTGCCCTTGGGAGACAAACTCCCCAGAACAAATCCTTCTGATCGGCCCAGAGTTCCTGGAGTTCTTCTCTTTCTCCCCTCTTCCTGTGCTCCTGTGATTGACAATTCAGTGGGCTTTAAAATCTGTTAGGTGGGGGGAAACTTTCTTACAAAATAAAATAGTTATGCACTGTTTTATAGGACTCTGTGAAGGGAATAACCCAACCCACTTCCCGTGCAGGCTTGCCCACCAGGGTGCTAACAGCCGTCTGCCTGCTCTGTATTTAGGTTTTGTGTCTTGCCTCAAGTTTAAATATTGCAGGTGAGCCAGGTGTGGTGGTTCGTGCCTGTAATCCTAGCATTTTGGAGGCTGAGGCAGGAGGATGGAAAGTTTGAGGCCATCCTGGGCCACATATGGAGAGCAGAGGCAGCTTGGATTACATAGTGAGACCCCGTTTCAAAAACAAAAATTCATTGGGAAATCTAAATATCATTCCTGGCTCTGCCTGACTGACCGGTTCCAGGTTGAGCAAGATGTCCCCTCTCCCTAGGGCTCTGTTTCCTTGTTTGTGATACCTCTCCTTGTCTCCCAAGCCTGCCTGTCATTGAGTCACCTGGGTGCTGACTAAATATGCTGGATGCCAAGGCCTCCCCTGGGATGGAGGAGGGGGTCGGAGTCCTTTCCCTTCTCCACCTTGGGCCTTCACACTGAGTTACATTCCCGGCACTTTTTAAATTTTTTATCCCAAGACAGGGTCTTCCTCACCTGGGCTTGAACTTTCCACCCTTCCGCCTCATCCTCCCAGAGTTCTGGGATTGCAGGTGCGCGGCAACATGCTTGGCTGCGGCACACCTTTAAATCAAACAGTCTGGTGGATTCTTATCACCCAGCGTGTGTGGAAACACATGCCGGATGGTTGCTAAGGTTCCAGGCCAGGCTGTGGTCTTTAATTTGCATCCACAGTCTTCTAGAAAGGAGATGGGGTTCAGTACTGAGAGGGGTGACACACCTCGCATTGACTGAGTTATGAACACTGAGGGGTGCCTCCTGGCATTGCCCTCCAGGGCTCCCTTCTCCTGTGGCTCTCTGCGAACTTCTTGCCGGGGTCAGACCCTGCCCGCTCCTGGCAACAAAGGTTCAGCTGCTTTGGGAGCGCAGCAAACATTTCCCCAGACACCTGCATGACTCACGCCCAGCACCCTCCCCGGCTGTTGACTCCTGTGTTACCTTATCAGCCAGGCCGTGCTCCCTCCACCCTGTGTCATCTTCCTCCCCCACTTCTCTCTCCTTAGCAATTGCTGCCTCACCTGCTGAAATTATCTTTTTCTATCTTGCTAATCATCCTTCTCTCCACTAAGACAGAACCTCCTCAAGGTCAACCACGTTTTTTGGCTCTGTCCCCACTAATAACCTCAGTGTCTGGACTGGAACATAGTAGGTGCTCAAAAAAAAAAAATTTTTTTTTTTGTCTTTTTCTTTTTTATCGGTACCAGGGATCGAACTCACGACTGCCTTCTTGCAAGACAGGTGCTTATGCCACTAAGCTAAATCCCCAGCCCCTCAAAAATTTGTGGTCAAAGAAAAAAATAAGCTTTGGGATGGGTGTCCAGGTCTGAACTGTGGGAGGCGCCCCTTTAACGCTGGGCTAAGGCCCCCCTTCCAACCACTGTACCCCTCACTTCTTTGCTCTTGAATGTTCTGTATTCTGCTTGTAACTGGCGCCTGGAGGCCTGACACTGTGTCCTTTGACCTCCGCTGCTTCTGCTTCCTTCCTTCTCTTCCATCCCATAAAGATCAGTTAGGCAAAAAATGCCATTTGCTCCACCACACATTAATTAAACTCCCACCAGTGCTTCTGAACCTTTTCTAAAAAACAAAAGAGTTCCTTACGAGGGGCTGGGGATTTAGCTCAGCGGCATAAGCGCCTGCCTTGCCAGCAGGCAGTCATGAGTTCAATCCCCGGTACCGATAAAAAGGAAAAAGAAAAAAAAAAAAGAGTTCCTTACGAAACAGAGGGGAGGCCTAGGAGTGTAGCTCCACTTACTCATCGTACCTGAGGCCCTGGGTTTAATCTTGGGTAAACTGAATTAAGCGACAGAAATGTCTTATCTCATAGCTCTGAGCCCAGAAGTACAGAATCAAAGTATCATGGGACTCTGCTCCCCTGAAGACTTGGAGGAAGAATCCGTGCATCTTCTGGCTTAGGGTAGCCCAGGGGTCCTGTGGTTTGTGGCTGCAGCATGCTAGCTTCCCGTGGCTTTCTCTGCCTCCCTCATTCTCTCCTATCTCTTATAAGACCTTTGTCATTAGACTTAGGGTCCACCACAATAATCCAGGATAAACTCATCTCAAGAGCTTTAATTACATATGCAAAGGCCCTTTTTCTTTTCTTTCTCTCTCTCTTTTTTTTTTTTTATACCGGAGATCAAACTCATGACCTTGTGCTTGCCAAGCAGGCACTTATGCCACTGAGCTAAACCCCCAGCCCCAAGGCCCTTTCTTCAAATCAGTTCCCATTCACTTCCTAGGGGTTGGGAGTAACAGCATGGGCATATCTTTTTTTGGTAATTTTTATTTTAAAGACAGTAAAGCCAAGCAAAATAAAACAGAACAAAGCCAATCAAAACAAAAGTGATACAGGACTTCAAAACAAGATAATAGGAAATCAACAATGGTTAACGTAATGCCTCTTGTTGTCTTCAAAATAGCTGCAGCAACCTTTAGACATAGTAAAAATCAAACAAAAGAGAACAGAATAGAAGCAATAAAAACAAAATAATAACACAGTAAAGGACTTCAAAAGAAGATAATAGTGAATCCAAAATGGCTACAGTAGTATACCTTGTTATCTTTGAAATAGCTGTCCATGCCATTGGACATGATAAAATCAAACAAGACAGAACAGAATAAAACCCAACCCAACAAAACAATGAAAATGATACAGAACTTCAAAACAAGATTAATAAGGAATTAACAATGCCCACCACCCTCAGAAGGAGATCTCCCATAGATGCTACAATGCATATTATGATCCTCTGAATAGATGGTCAGACTCTTGGCTTTAGGCCTGCAAAGTCAGTGAAACACTAAACACTATGAGCATTAAGTTGTATTTTACCTCAATAGCCACCATTACGGCCTGTGTTTCTCTGGATCAGCTGGTTGATTATGGTGAATGGTGGGGGGGTTGGCTCTTCTTATCTCCCAGTCCATGCACAGGTAGGGGTGGGGTCCGGTTCTTTCTCCAGTGGCACATGCATGGTGCTGATTCACAGGGAGGACTTGCTTCTTGTTCTCTTCTCCTACAATCCACGAATGATGCCAACTCACTGGAAAAGGCTGGCATCTGGATCTCCCCCCAGCAGCCCATGCATGATCATGGGCATATCTTTTGATGGCCACCATTCAATGCCAAGATTACTATGATAGTGGTCTTGGTAATTTTGCAGGTTTTGTCAGTTTTCAGAGCTATTACTACGCTTTCATATTTGGAGGCACAGTCCTGAAATCTGACTCTCTTGTATGCTTTACAAGTAACTTTTTTCTTTTCATTTCTGAGGGCTTCTATTTCAGAGTTTTCCTTGACTAGCTGTGTGATATGAGTTGGTACTATTATTATCCCTGAGAAACCTGGAGACCAAGGCAGAGTGGTTGATTACATGTGAATTACAAGAATCCCAGGCAGTCTGCCCCAGAAACACTGGTACCCATAGCTCAGCCACTCAAAAGATAAAGAGCATTAGTATGTTATTTTTTTGTCCCCTGTACTGGACATAGAACCCAGGACCTACATGGCAGCCTTTTTTTTTTTTTTTTTTTTTTAAATTCTCCCTAAATTGTTCTGGCTAGGTTCAATCTTTTGATCTTCTTGCTTCAGCCTCCCAGAGGGCCTAAATTACAGGTAGGCATACCAGGCCCAGCTTATCTTGATGTTTGAATTTTTATTTTTTTTTCCTTTACAAATGTGGCTTTGTATTACTTGTACAGACAAAGAAAGAATCGACCTGATCCCATTTTATGATGTATTCTTCAACCTGATTTTCAGTGGCTGTGATCCTCCTGTACATGGTGTGATCACTCTCACATCTTTGTACTTGGCATATTCACACGTGGACCTTCTGCATGCACAGTGCTTCTGTATGAGAGGAAAGGGGAACAGGTCAGTGTTCCTGTCCCCTGGGGGTCACCTGGCTGCTCACAAGGACCATCTGAGGGGCTCAGCTGCTCTGGGCCATAGTCCAGCTACCCCTGAGCTCCAGAGCAGGGCCTGGTGCCAGTGGTTCAGAGCCCTTAGAAGCTACTGGGGCACCAGCGGCCAGGCCAGACTGAGACCTCAGGGCCCAGAAAACGCACGTTCCCACCTGATGTGCTCCACACCTGCTCTCTCCAAGGGTCCTGTCCTGCCTTCTGTGCCCAGAGGCCAGCTGTTCCCTGCTTATCTTTGGATGGTAGTCAAGCCCCTGGATCCCGCACACATGACCTGATGGCTTCCTGCCCACATCCTGGCTGTTTTTTCCACTCTGTTGTCTGGGCCTTTAGGAGAGAAAAATGGCAGGAGAGCTGTGAGTGAGCCAGGGGAGAATGACCAGGCTGGAAATCAGAAGAGTGGGCATTGGTCCTGGTGCTCGTGTGGCCCAGGCCAGACACTTGGCCTCTGGAGGACACCTTCCTCCATCGAATGCCTACACAAGTGGGGGTCAGCGCCAAGCCTCATGGACATGCGCATGTTGGTGAGGTGACCAGCTGACCTTGGGCCTCTGCCTTGTTCGAGTATGTACCCCGTGAATGCAGGCTTGCAGTGGGCCCCCAGCGGCAGATCTTAAGCAATGTAGGGATTGCTTAAGCAATTGAGGGATTATGCCTGGCCTGAAAGGAACTCCTCTTTAATGAAATCTAACAAGTAAAGAAAGCACTGGCCCTTACTTTGCCCTGAACAGCAGGGAGAGCTGTGAACCGAAGGCCCAGGGAACAAAAGGAGGCCAGAGCTAGCGCCGTCTGCACCAAGATGCTCTCTCACGGCGCCATGCGCATGCGCCACAGCGGCGAGGGCTGCTCCATCAATGTGGCTGCGAATCGAAAATGAAATGGTATCAGAAGCCCCACAGTTACAAGTCTTACAGGGGACAGTATCTGAGCATTCAGGAAGCTCTGTCCCTCCCATCCTTTGTGTGCACCCCAGTGTCTTCCCTGATCCCTGCTCCCGTGCTCTCCTCACAGCATCTCTGCTGCCTCCCCAGCGCCCCAAGCAATGCAAACCACACACTGAGTCAGAGGAGCTGGATTTGGGAAACTCCCTTCAAGCCTCACCTTCCTGTCTGTCAAATAAGGGTGAAGAGCTACAGCCCACTCAGTGACATAGTTGGGAAGGGGCTGCGGTCATCCCTCAAATTAAACAAAAATATACAGAGAATGCCAACATAGAGAAGTATGCAATAAATGCAGTTTCTACTATTTTTCTCTCTGGAAAGGCCCTTGTCTCATTTCAATTTTAGTTCTAGTAAAAATTTGAATCGGGGGCTGGGGATTTAGCTCAGCAGCAAAAGCGCCTACCTTGCAAGTGTGTGGTCATGAGTTCAATCCCTGGTACCGATAAAAATGAAAAAGACAAAAAAAAAATTAAAAATTTGAATCACATCTTCCTTTCCTCATATATCTGGGTGTCTTTTTATTAAATAAACTTAAAAAAAATTTTTTTGGTACCAGGAATTGAACTAAGGACTTTATCCTTGCCAGGCAGGACCTGTACTACTGAACTATATCCTGGCACTTAAATAAACTTGTAATATCATAAAGCTTGAGGGCAATTCTATAGCTGAATACAGAACTTCTCCTTCTCCTCCTCCTTCTTCTTCTTGTTATTTTTGGTTTTGTTCAGACAGCTTTTCACAATGTAGTCCAGGTTAGGATTATAGGCATGCCCCACAGTGCCCAGCTGAGAGTCCTTATGGGAATAATAGCAATGCTTTCCCTGTAGTTTTGAACAAGACCTCCCCGATTCTCTGAATGCCGTATAATGTGGAACATGCTGCTTGGCTGAGTGTGAAGATAACCTGTGCATACCAGGCTCAGAATGTGTAAGGGGCATCTGAAGACTTCAGCTTTTTGAGAGCACACATAGGGACACAAACAACAGCCAGGTTCTTTGGTCATGGAGTGGGAGTAGGCAAATCCGTACGATTAGAAAATTTACCTACCATGCAAACCCAGAGCAAGCAGGCTTCACGTAGCAATGGATGGGAGACCCGGAATTGAAGGGGAGAGAGAGGCGGGGCTGGGGCCACAACAGTGCAGGCAGAGGGTGGGATCCCCATTTCTTAACTTCCCCTTCCTGGAAGAGGCTGAGTTCTAGATCCCAGTTGTCCTGTTGGGAGAGTTTCTGGGACCAGGCAAGACCTCATAGATTTTGCATACAGGTCATTTACATCTCTTCAGATGTCAAAAAAGAAAACCAGGAGAAGACAGTGGGCCAAGCCCACTCTGAGAACTCCAGGAGTGGGTTCTCCAGATTCTTCACCATTGTCACCCCAAGAGTGGAGCCCTCAGACCCAGCCCCTCCATGCATGACTGGTGGCTTCCTTGTCTCGGTCAGGTGAAAGAACCTGGAAGGGACAAGCACCTCACGGTCCTCCTTGGGGCTACAACAGCCACCGGAGACAATGCTGCCTCTATTTCAAATGACGGTGGCCTGAGGTGACCTGCTTGTGCCTGCCACTTCTCACAACAGACCAGTTAATCTTCCTAGAGATGCCATGGAAGACACAGAGCTGGGTTGGACAGAGGGCATGTCCAGAGGGTCATAGTCTTGTCCCTGTCCTCAGGGAGGTTAGCATCTAGGAGCTTAGGAGGTGCTCGGTCACCTCAGGGCTTGCAGAGTGAAGGCAGCATAGAAAAAGCCTTCATCAGCATCCACTCAGGCAAGTCCAGCACCTCTGCTGGCATTTGCTGAGGACCCAGCGGACTGCACCGTATGGACCGTGGCCACCCCCCACCATATTTGTAGGTGGTACTGGACTTTCCAGGGGTCAGGGGAGGGACGCCAAGAGACGTAGCCTCTATGCAGCTGTTTCTCTGTTGTTGGGCATTTTAACTGTATTTTCTTTATACACCTGAGATCTATAATACATACATGCATGGCGGGGAATTGGTACAGATTCATACGTTATCTTCATCCCCTTGGTCCTCCCCCACTCTCAGATCCCTTTCTCATCTCCACAAAGTCAAAATAAAAATTTCTGAAGGGCTGGAGCTGTAGCCCAGCGGTGGAGAGCTTGGCTACCATCAACGAGACCCCTAGTTCGACCCATACTGAAGAGGGGAAAGAAGGGGGCACAGCACAGCAGGCAGCTGCTAGGGGGAGCCCGGAGATAGGCCTGGGTGCTGAGAGCGAGCAGATGCAGGGGCTGGGTACAGGCTGACCCACGTCTGTATTCGGGCTTGACATTTACAAGGTTCAAGACTGAGAACTTCTCTCACGCTCGATCCTCTCTACTTCACCTTTAAAATAGGGTTCATCATCCATCTCTTGTGCAATCAAAGAGCGTATTCAAAGGGACTCGCACACTGCTGGCACTGGAACCCCAGCTTCTTCCTGGTGGAGCAACACTGCCCCTCAGTGGCCAAGGGGAATGTAACAAAGATCTGAGGGAAAGGCTCCCACGCTGTGTTCGCCCAGGACAGGACAAGGCGTGCTCCTTGATGCTCCTATGGGCCTCACATGCATCTGCTGCCCGAGGTGCTGACCCTGGACCCCATGTGCACGGGGAAGTTCTGCATGCCCACTGCTTGTGGACCTGGGTACATGCAGCCCTGAGCTGTACGCCCTCCCGCTAGCAGACCAGAGTCAGGGAAGTCACCAAATAATGAGCCAGTGTTCCTAGAAGCAGAGACACTGTGCTCACAGGTCCTGAGGCAGTGTCTCTGGGCCAGTGTGGCTGTGTACAGAAATCACCAGAGCAGTGGAGGAGACAAGCCAGTAGGCACGAGGGGCTCTCGCCAGGAGTGTGGCTGCCTGGCTCCTGAGAACAGTGGGAGCCACAGTCGGTGCGGCTCCCAGCCACTCTCTGTTCCCCTCCAGGGACAGATGGCCTCACTGCCCTCCCCATCCTCCCTACTCAGAGTGCCTCCCCCACATCTGTCAGATGGTGTGGCACGGTGGCAGAGCACTTGCCTAGTGTGTACAAGTCCCTGGTTCCATTCCCAGCACCCCAAAACAACGGGAAAATGAGGCACCAGTGTGGTCCTTCGAGAGGGGTCCTTAAACAGGTGCCACCCATGAGGATACTGTCACCAGCCCTCTGTGAGATGAGGGAAATTAGGACAGTGGAAAGAGGCTCTTACCAACAGAGGGCTGCCTGACTTACAAGATTGTCCTGTGACGGTGCATCCTTCTGAGGCTGATTTACACTGACTTTATGAAATGATGATGTTGTTAAAAGATTCTTCAATTTTTAAAAAACATTTAAAAAATATAGCCAGGCATGGTGATGCATGTCTATAATCTTAGCACTTGGGAGGCTGAGGCAGGAGGACTGCTTTGAGTTCAAGGCTAGCCTGGGCTACCTAGCAAGACTGTTTCCAAAAAAACAAAACAAATTTTTAAAAAACCATAATAATAATAAATAAAAATTTGAAAAATAAATAAATGCTTTTACTTGACATTTTAAAAGGGCAAATACCCAATCTGAGGGGGAACTCGTTGGTCTATGAGTCATCAGATTATCTGGAGTAGGACAAGCAGGAAGCCTCTGCCAGCCAGCAACCGTCTGCCCTTGTTGTTCTCACCCTCGCTAGAACTGCATTCTCAGCAGGTCAGACCCTTTGGTCCTCCTTCAACAGCCCATGCCTGGGGTCCCACCTACTTGGCAGGCTGAGGTGGGAGGGTCTCTCGAGCCCAGGAGTTCCAGGTCTGCCTGGGTACACAGTGAGACCTCCATCTCTGGAATAAGAAAATAAGTAGGGGAATAAAGGAACAGGCTGGAACAGGCTGCAAGGGTTTAAGCACCAGAGCCGGCGCTTTCTAGTTCTCTGTGACCTTGGCTCCTGCATTTATGGCAGGGACACGAAGGCAAAGGTCAGAGATAGGGTGTGTCAGAGGGTGTATGGCATTGTGGTGCTTGGTGGATGTTAGCTATGGAGGGCCACCTGGACGACTCTCCTTGAGAGAAGAGCAATTTTCTCCATCTTGGCTAAACCTGGCCCTACTTCTGTGTATTGATGTGTACAGAGCTGGCTAGGATTGTTCCTTATCCCTTCAATTGGCTTGAAGCAATGCACCTCAGGCTAGCTGAGGTGCTGGTGTTAGTCTCTGAAGTGAGGCAACAGTGCTGTCCCACTGTGTAACTCCCCAAAAAAGCATGCATGAGCCAGGTAGGATGGAGGGCCACACCCCATGCCATCATCTGGGATCGAGCCTTGAGATAAGAGGCTATGACCTCTCAGGGCATAAAAAATTATACATCACAGCTGAAGCCCTGACTCCAAAACATTAGATGCTACCTTGACTGTGTTATGCAGATTACTCCTTCCCCATATCCTCCTCTCTGCATATTGCAGAGGTGATTTCAGGCCTCCTACAGAGCCAGCTCATGGCACTCACGTATTTCCTGCCACACTCAGGGCCACTCATCCTTGAGCCACTCCCTTCATGAATGAATGAAACCCTGGTTTATCCCAGGGTTGAGGCCTTTGTTCTGGTGAGCCACCACCCCAGCTGCATCTAGGATTCCCTTAGCTCCCCGTGGCTACAGACATGTCTTGGTGTCTGTATTCTCACTGTGGGTTGCACTGCAAGTGGTCGATTGCAATTAACTCATTAGAATTGCAATAACTTTTCTTCCTCAATAGTCCGAAACGGTTGTTTTATTTTCCTGTTCAGTTCAAGTTCACCGGCTCACAGCTGCCTGTGCCTGAAGTCACTGCAGCCCTCTGTTTCTCCTTTCCAAGCTGCAGCACCTGGCCACATCTGCCTTGGGGCTGGGAAGGCACTGGTCTCCTTGGGAAGTTGCTGGAAGGGAATGTATAGTTCTGTTCTAAGAAGTAGGAAGAAGATGTGTGTGTGTGTGTGTGT